TTTTTCAAGTCTGAGTTCATTTGCTCAATTGGGGGTTTCTGAGGGAACGGAAGCGATCGGACTATTTATTTATTTGTATTTTTATTTTTATTTCGGGGGGGGGGTTAACAGGTTAACAGGGGTTCCCAGAGAGAGGTAAGAAGGCTGTGCTCTTTACTGACAAGGAGCTTCATTTCCCGACGGCACCATCCAGACCTGAGGTGAGGTTTGAACTTCATTTGCTCAAAATTCTGGAATCCCTCCTTTAGAAAAGAAAAGGAAAAAAGAAAGAGAAAAGAAAGGTAGGCTCCATAGAACTGCCCTGTCTACAGTTTTGGGGGTTCGAGGGAATGTAGGAACCATCAATTTTTTTTATTTTTATTTTTGTAAATGAACCATCAATTTTAATCGAGTTGGGAATAAGGGGTGGGACCTGGGGGGCTTTACACGCGTTCGAGGAGAGAGGCGAGAAGGGTGCCTTTTTTCTGCTTCTGATGTTCCATATGCTGCGATATTTTTCGACATCGAGCTTCATTTTTTCCGTATGCTCCAATCTCTTCTCACAAGGAACTCTTATTTCTTGACCGGAGCACCGAGCAGCAGCTCATATCACTCCCTCTAGCGGGCCTCATCAGGAGATTTAAAAAAAAAAAAAAAAAAAAAAGGGACAGGACTTCATTTTCTCATTGTGGAACGCAGTTGTAGATTGGACTGTCTCTGTAAAGGACCATCTTATGACAGTGGCTGTAAAAAATTATGGGACAGCACTTCATCACATGATCGCAGCATCAGATTCTGGGACAGGAGCCGCTCATATCACTCCCTCACCAGTGGCTCCCACACATCAATATCGAGGATCGCACCCACAGACCCCAGACGACCGACTAGGATGAGATGACGCTACCTCTGTGCCAGCAATTCCCATTGCAATTCCAATATTCGCCAACTTCAGCGCAGGAGCGTCATTCACACCATCACCTGTCATAGCCACAATCTGCACAAGATGCCACTGACACATCAGAAAGTCCTCCTGCCC